ATATATATATATATATATATATATATATATATATATATATATATATATATATATATATAGGGTATATATATATATATATATATATATATATATATATATATATATATATATATATATATATATATATATATATATATATATATATATATATATATATATATATATATATATATATATCGTTACACTCTGCGCATGTCTGGATGAGTTGATATCGTCGTATTGTACCACATGCATACTCATGCCTTGGTGAGAGCAAGTTCATGTGATATAAATACGAAGGTTAACGTGTCTAGATGTATACCAATGGATTATCCCAGAGCCTCGCGTTCCTTCCCGAGGATCCGAGGCTCGGGAAACGAGATTGGCATGTCTGCAGATAGGGTGATCAACACTTCCCTGTCGCTACACCAAAAGTTATCAAAATTCGGCTTTTACTGGTCCAAAATAGGCTGATGAACATTTTCATGTATTTTCCCTGATTTTTTATTGCACTGTCTTTTTACCTGAATCACGGCAATGGACAAAGCAGCAGAAGCCAGAACAGAAAATTTCTGTCGGAAGAATTGAGTGATAAGGTCATAACATCCCTAGAAAAAAGATTTTCGATTTTATTTGTTCTACAGAAACACAAAAGATAGTAGCCTAGTAATTTTTGTCATATCATATCATACCAAAATAAGTTTAATTAAGTGGTCACTGCATACATGCAGCAACCTATAGCCGTATAGGACACTGCGTATACCAACCTCTGTGTAAATAAATTTGCCAACCATATCCGTATTATTATGAACATGTTCATAACTATTACAATCCTTCCGCATGTCTTTACAGCAACTTTCAGGTACAATTGTTCGGTTAGGTGGACTAAGATGCTGATCCCACGTGACATTGAACCAGTCAGAGTAGTTTCTGTTTCCACAACAATGAAACTGAAATAAGCGAAACAAAAAATAGTTAATTCGATTGAGTCGGTTTTCTTTGATGTGCCGCGGGCTGTACTATTTACAACCAGAGATTTACAACATGAGTGGCCGTGTTGTATCGGACTGATACAATTTAAAGGTCTCCTTTTTTTAGATACCCTGTAGATTCGTGAAGAGCTGTGGTAATTATTTATTAATTTATTAATAATCTGCACGATTCCAGATACCGTAATTATTCGAATAAACGCCGCGGAGTTTGGCGCTCAAGGTGCGGCGTTTATTCCAGGGCGGCGTTTATTGCAAATTTTGTAACAACAAGTGTGCATTTATTGTTTAATTAAAACTCAACTTCAACACTTAACCCAAAAAACTAAGAATAAAGTTTATATGTTATGAATGCTTCGAATAAACGCCGCATCGATGAGAAATAATGCGGTGTCTATTCGAGGGCGGCGTTAATTCGAGGGAGGCGTTTATTCGAGTAATTACGGTAATCAACATCAACTACAGCAAATTGACAACATCATCGACACTGAACTACTTCCTGCACTCACGGCCGGCCGAAATGTTTCCTTGCTAGATCGTAAGCTACTGCGTTGCCAACACCTCTGGGAGGTCTTGGCATACCCAATCTTTCGGATATGTGTTGCCATGGAGTTTCAGAATTCCAAAACGATATGTCAGGGCCTTACAGGGAAGATCGTCGAGCAGAATAATATCAGAGAAGACAGACCTGTCGAGCCGTCCAGAGAATACGTTGTCGTGTGGCTTATGAGAGGGAAGAGAGATACAAGTCCACAGTGGCGGCGCCAGGCTTTCAAATTTGGGGGGGGGGCATTTGAGGGGCAAACTCGAATTTGGGGGGGGCAAGATAGAATTTTTAAAAAGGTCGCCCCCCAGGAAATTCGCCCCCCCCCCTCAAAACGTGGCGATATTCCTAGGAATATCGCCCCCGGGGGCGAATATCCTAGGAATATCGCCTCCCAGGGGGGTGGGGCGAATACCCTAGGAATATCGCCCCTCTTTAGGACATTCGCCCCCCTTATATGCGATGTGGTTTATTCAAATAATTTCGTGATACTTTCATCTTATTATTGCCTTACACGTTTGAGAATTTAACTCTGCAAAACTAAAGCTTTTGTGTCTTTTTTTGAAACGTATTATTGGAGTATTGGCAAGTTTTACCATTCAGAGATTTACAAACTAATATTGAAACTGTAAAAAACAGTTTCATGTATATGCGCATTCACTAATGAGTAATGACAACTTATAAGCCATACATTTTCCGATAACGACAGAACGCTTGTGTAGCCTTTAGTCGCTCTTAGTGACTAATAATTTTTTTTGAGGGGGAGGGGGCAAAATGGGGGGGGGGGAATAATTCTGGGGGGGCATTTGCCCTCCCCCTTGCCCCCCCTGTCAGCAGAACAGATTCGCGCCAATGACCTTGCTCATTTGAAAGGTTCTTCAATCTGGATGACAGCTCTTCCACTTGCTGATGAGGGATATGTCATCAATATTAAGTGGGAATTCTTTGATGCGATCTCAGACTCACTGTGCCTGTGGAAAGGTGTTCACTGTCGACCATGCCTTATCGTGTTTAAAAGGAGGTTTCATTCACTGTCGACATCATGAGGTACGTGATCTTCTGGCAGCCGCCATCGATAAAGTCACATATGACGTTCTTGTAAAAGTATGAAAGGCATTTTTTTATGTACATCCGTAATGGGTATTCAACCCTGATGCCTCGACACACAGAAACCAGAACCTCACCAATGTCTTCAAGGCAAATGAAAAGGAGAAGAAGCGGCAATACAACCAGAGAATTGTCCAGATCGAACATGGATCGTTCACGCCACTTGTATTCAGCGCATTTGGAGGTTGCAACAGGGAAACACAGCATGAGCTGGTTGCGAAAGAAGATCGCCTTTGCCCTCCTTCGTGCACAAGTCCTTTGTGTGAGGCAGTCGTACGTGGAAGAAAACGTAAATTTCCCAAAATTGTTGAGCATTGGACTACTATCCCAAAGGTCGCGGGTTCGATTCTCACCGTGGTCAAGCAAACTTTTCAGTCTGCCCGCGGTGTGGATACACACTCAGAGTATCACAATCAGAAACATTATAAATATTAATTTTTAATCAGTGTAATTCATATATTTTAGTTTTTTCCCTTCCTATCCAATTCAAGTCTTGCCGACTACGAAAACAATTTCCCGACTGGGAGGACACGAGAAAAAAGCGGGCAACGAGTTTTTTCCCATCCCCATTGGCATTGACCGCCTGCCACGCAGGCTAAATAAGCTACACTAAACTTTATCTTTACGGTAAACAAATAATCTTCGCACTCACACTCTGTTGCATTTTGTTCCAGGCACCTCTAATTATGCTGTCAGAACTGTAGCCATTCGTCATTGTAGTGTTTAAGCCATGAGACAATGCACTTTTGATCTAGAAGTAAACACTTTAGGCTTAAAGTTACATTGCATGAAAAAAATCTATAAGAAATTAACGAGGGGATTGATGGTATTTGGTGAGACGAACATATAGTGTATGTGTTTTCTATAATTTCGCATCTGAGTTGTATACACTGCAAAAAATCCACTTCTCAATTTGAGTCAAATTACTCATTTTGCGAGCAAAGTCACTCACAATTTGAGTAACTGGCATGTTTTACTCAGCGGTTGAGTAACTCTACTTTGAAACGTGAGTAAAATTGTCTTTATCGGCAGTAGGTGAGTCATTTGACTCGGCCGGAATGAGTAAATTTACTGAATATGTGAGTAAAATTACTCATACAGCGAGTAAAATTGCAAATTCATTTTACTCTGACGCTTCCTGAGTAAACGTACTCAAAATTTTGAGTAAAACATCGTCTTTACTCAAAGACTGAGTAAACCAAATTATCAGCACACAGATATCCAGTAACATTACTCATGGATTGAGTAAGAATATACCAATTTACTCATCGTTTGAGTAAAGTGAATTAGCTTTACTCAAGCTTGAGTAAAAACATAGTAAATATTCGTTGTTAGTAATTCTACTCAGAAACGTGAGTAAAATTGTCTTGATG